GTTGTTATTATTCCAATTGCCACCACCTTGTTGTTGATTATTGTTATTCCAATTACCTCCGCCTTGTTGTTGATTGCCCCAATTTCCTTGAGGACGCCATTGTTGATTCGAAGAGTTGCCTCTATTCCCTTGGTAGTTATTGACATATTGGACCTCTTCGCTTTGGTCATCATAGCACTCATTTGAATAACCACCACCATCATTGTTGTTGTCATATTGTTCACAATTACCTTGAGGATGTTGCCCTCTTTGCCTCCTTTTCAACATAGAAACACCTTCCATTGCATTGACTTGGCGCGGGTTTTGGACTTGTTGCAATTGCGCCTTTGCCAATTGATTCATAGTTGTTGTAAGCTCGGCNAACATAGAAACACCTTCCATTGCATTGACTTGGTGCGGGTTTTGGACTTGTTGCAATTGCGCCTTTGTCAATTGATTCATAGTTGGTGTAAGCTCGGCAGTAGCTTGGCCATGATCGTGCAATTCCTTGTGCAAATGGATGACCGTAGGGTCACCTTGGGGCACATTTTTTCGGCTTTGCCATGCCGAAGAGGTGTCGTCCATATCATCAAGTACATCACATGCCTCTTGGTAAGAAAGTTTCATAAAGTTCCCTCCGGCCAATTGGTTCACAATACATTGATTCGCGGTGTTGATGCCTCGATAAAAGGTTTGTTGAATCATAGCCTCAGTCATGTCGTTATTAGGGAACTCTGTCACCATTGTTCTATATCTTTCCCATATCTCGTGCAAAGGTTCCGTTGACTCTTGCTTGAAGGCTAGAATTTCATCCCGAAGAGCCGCCATATGACTTGGAGAAAAGAACTTAGCAATAAATTTGTCTGCCAATTCATCCCATATTGTAATAGAATGATTGGGGAGCCTTTCTAACCAATCCAATGCTTTACCCCGAAGAGAGAACGAGAAAAGCCTCAATCTCAATGCATCCTCGGACACGTTTGTCTGCTTGCTACCCCAACATGTATCCATGAACCCCTTCAAGTGCCTGTAGGCATTTTGATCGGAGGCCCTCGTGAAATACCCTCTTTGCTCGAGCAAGGTCAACATAACATTTGTGATTTGAAAGTTCCCCACCCGGATTCGGGGAGGCACAATAGCACTGGCGTATCGTTAATTTGGTAAAACTCTGGGAGCCACTCTCGGCGGTTGCGGAGGAGGGTCTGGAATATTGTTGTTCTCATTTGCATTTCTATTGGCATTTCGGCCCCTCCGTGGAACTTGAGGTAAGACCTCATCTTGTTCTAGATCCTCTACCTCCTCCCCCGCTATCACGTTGCCGAGAGGGTCATTTGCATTAAGAGCCATTTGTACCTCATTGATCTATACAAACAAAATTAGTAAACAAGAAGGAAAGAGAAGCAAAACACAAAACTAAATAAACAAATAGTCAACACCGTAAGCTCCCCGCCAACGGCGCCAAAAAAAGGTGATCGCTGCCAACTCGATGCTACACTAAGGTATGTAGAGCGGGTCGCAATAGCTTTTACACGATATGTGAGTCGGGATCGAATTCCTCAGGGAGCTAGTAGTGGAGTTGGATTGTCTGTCTATCCTAGAGATGTGTTTGTACTCCTAATGTCACTTCAAATATTTTTGGGTTTTCGAACTATAACTATTTTTATAAAACTATCGATTAACACTAAATTATGCTACGAGAATATTGCTAAGTTGTATCTAATAAGAAGAAGGGCACTAGGGTCGCGACACTACCTAGGTGGGTAATTGACGGGTAGATGTTACTAAGGTTCGATTGACATAATTGGGGCTTATGCTATAACCATTGCACAATTTTACCCACTCTCACACCTCTCGGTAGAGAAAGTGACTTTGCCCAATTGACTCTCTCGAGACCAAATGGATAGGCAAATTAGACCAATCAACTAGGGTTCAAGTGGGGTAATTACTCTCTTGAGGTTTAACCTGTTAATTGGGACTATCATTTCTCATGAGTCCATCCCAATTCCTTGTTGGGTCAATTTTGGGGTTATAGGCTTTCTCTCTCAAGAAGAGTTAAACCCACAAAGCTTGAATCAGTATTTGCAACCACCAATTCTAGATTAAAATATAAAATCAACTCAAATAGCAAACACCCATATTTAATCTATCAACCAAAATAACAAACACCCATATTTAATCTATCACTAGATGACAACACCCATCAATTACCCATACTAGGGTTGAGCCATAACCCTAGCTAATGGGTTTAGCTACTCATGCTAGATAAAGAAATTGAAGAAATAGATGAAGAACTAAGCATATTAATTAATTGCTAAAACTAAATTACAAGAATCTATTGTAAATGTAAAGCAAAAGTGCCAAAAATGGCTACAAAATATGTTCTCACGAGCGCAGCTTTCCACTAATGTATCTGATTACCTAAAAAATGGTAAAATGTTCTATTTTTACGAGGCTGGAAAAATTAGACAAAAATACCCATGCGAGGTCAGTGCGGGCCACATTAAATGGACCGCGGCGCACTGGGCTCACTCCTACTTTTCTGAACTTGGACTCCGCAGACCGCGTAGAACGGACCACGGTCGCGGAGGGAGATGGCACGGCCCGCGCAACCACGACCGCGGACCGCATGGCACTGGCTTTGCAAACTTCATCTCTCTGAACCTCATGACTGCGGACCGCACAAAAGAGTAGTGCGGTCGCGGAGCCTTCACCGCGGACCGCGAAATGTGTACCGCAGCCGCGCTTCTTCTAGCATGATTCACCAATTCTCTGAACCACCTAGTGCGGCCGGATTGCACTTTGCGCGGTCCGCACTAGGCCTTCTTTTCTTAAATTTCTTGGTCTTTGATACTTGAGCATGTTTCACTCCTTTTTGAGTCGATCTTTGACATTTCGTCACTTTGTCGATCGAACTTGCGATCAAGCACAATTTGTGAGCCTTTTAGGACTATTTTGTAACAATATATGATCAAAGCATATGCAAGTAGGGGAATAAAACATGTTAAAATTCTAACTTATCATCGGTACACCCCTAGTGAGCATAGTCGACTATAAATTATGTATCGGGCTACACGCCGTAGTGGTTACTATGATTTTTATTACTATGAGATAATAATGAGCCTGAGTGCTGAGAGTGAGTATTGAGTGACGAAAGTTGAGTCACGAGTGAGAGAGGCTGCCCGAGGGGCCATATTCTGAGTGAGACATTGCCCGAGGGGCCCAGTTATGTTATTTTCACTGATTTCACTTTTCTTTTGAAATAAACATCTGTTGTAAGAAATTGCTAAGTATATGATTTCAAGCATTTAAACTGGAATTGATGAGTTTTCGACAAAAACTGGTTTTTAAACTGTGGAATTTGATCTGTTATCCTGTTGTTTATTTAGTTATATGATTTTTAACTGCTCGTCACTGCTTTCAGACCTTATTTACTTTAGTTACTTACTGAGTTGGTGTACTCACGTTACTTCCTGCACCTTGTGTGCAGATCCAGGTGCCCCAGTGGTAGAGTGAGGGTCCTCAGCTGATTCAGAGGTTGCCGGAGATTTCAAGGCAGCCGCATGGCGTCCGCAGCCCTGTTTTCTCCTTCTTATCTTGTTCTTTTCCGCGTATTCTAGACTTTTGTTGTATCAGACAGTCAGTTATGTAGTAGAGGCTCTAGACTCGTGATACCAGATATTTGGGGCTGTGTAGTTCATGTTTATTTGACTTCCGCTTATATTTTGTTATTTTTAAACACTTATTATGGAAATTGGTATTTAAACATGTGTTAGAAAATGGTTTTATAAAAGGAATTCGTTGTAGTTAATGGTTTGGGTTGGGTTGCCTAGTAATATGATAGGCACCATCACAATCGGGTATTTGGGATCGTGACACCTTTATTTTTGCTTGACTCTAAAAATTAGTTTCATGAATCATGATGACAAGTTTTAATTGTCTATTATACATTTGGTTGATAGAATACAACTTCAAAAGAGTAATACCAAAGCTATCGAACTGCACAAACTAAAATTAAAAAGTACAAAATTGAACCATATATAATTTATTTTAATATGCTATTAGTATACCTTTTTCAAAGTCGAAAATCGAAAATATTGAACTGAAGTCTGTCAAAACTGTACCAAACCGACCAATGAACACCCTAATATTTGTCGTTTTGTCGTTTTCCAATTTGTGCTTAATAATTTTATGTATATATATTAGTAATTGTAAAAAAGTACTTAATACATTTAGACCCGCCTATAACAACATCCTTATATAACAACCATTCACTATAAAAGTCACATTTTTCTTGAAACCTATTTTTATGTTCTGTTCTAATATATATTTTCTATAACATCATTTCACTATAGCAGCCAAAAAATATCGGAACAAACGAGGTTGTTATAGAGAGGTTTGACTGTAGCATATTTCTAAAATACACTTACAACTTATTATCAATTTCAATAATTTTATCCAAACATGTAACTGTCTATTCATAAAATCTGTTTCTAATACCTAAGAATTATTTTGGCTTGTTTGAGCCTAAGTTTTGAGCCTAAGTAGTGTAGATAGGAACAAAATGGATAAGCAGACTGAACAGAAGACAAAGCCCGTCTAGCTCAGTTGGTAGAGCGCAAGGCTCTTAACCTTGTGGTCGTGGGTTCGAGCCCCACGGTGGGCGTATTTTGCCTTACTGGTTTTTAAAGGGAATTCTTTCTTTTTCTGAACAATATCGAACTGCAGTTCAGGCCCATCTATATTTTTAGGCTTCTATTAGTCATGTCAACAACATTCTTCTGAGCCCAAACCTTGATTGCCTTGGGCCTTTCTGCTCTCTTCTTTGTATAATGTTTCTTTTTAAGATTTAATATAAAAATTTAAATATTAGGGTTATTTAACTATATAATAATAAGTGGAAGTGCCCTGGTACGACGAAGGGTATCTCCGTAAATAAAAGTTGTTTGATGGATAAATCCATATGTTCCTTCTTCCGGAGCAACAAACCCAATTTCTTGAATTGGTTTATGTATTTCATATCTTATTTTATTATGTATTTTTATGGTACTAATATATCGGCTCCTGTTGTTTTTTTGAGTCGAGGCTCTCCTGGAAACGGTCACTCTATTCTTCGGGATAGAATTAAATTCTGCCTATATATTATCCTCCCCACCCCATATTTGCGGGATTATACTGTATCGTTGATGTCGTTGCTGGTTTGCTCTTTTTCGTGCCTCCATAGGGTTTTCTTTCAAATTTTCGAATTGGAGTCCAAATTGACCCTGCTGATTATCCTTTCTTTAAGAGAATTAAAGATCCATGTACATATTTCATAGGATTCAACACATTACTGAAGATCAGAGGAAATTCTGGTAACTGATCTCTGTTTTTCGATAGTTCTGATGTTCTTTCCTACATGCATGCGTCTATTATTTGCTTTCTCTCGCTGCCGTTCTTTCTTCTTCTGAGTTTTCTTCTTTTCTGTACTTCTGTTTCCGCTCAGGTTTTGTTTTCAATCTTCTGCTTCTCTGCTTAGTCCTCTTCTTTTTTGGTTTCTTTTGAAATTTTCTTGTGAACTTTCTGTTTCCTCCCTACTAATTAGCAGGGAGTCAGTGAATTTATACCGCATTTAATTTAAATAAATTTTTTGCGCTGCAGGTGTTCAAATCCTGTTTCACATAAAAATTTCAGGTTATGATTTTCCCTTATTTTCAACAAGTTGCTCTTTGTGCTGCATGTGTTAGCTTGGTTGTATATTATTCTGGAAATATAATCTCTTTTTGATTTTTAGTTTTTGGTTTTTTCATTTGTTGTTTTGTTGCAGATTGTAGCTTGGTTCAGTATCTATACCATTTTAATGCTGGTTGTTTTGTTTGATTTTTCACGTATTCAACAATTTTTCGGATGGTTGTAGTATATGTCTCCCCTATTAGTTTTTCCTTCTTTTCTTGATCAGTCTTTGAGTTGCATCAACTAATGTTACTCTGTCCCTTTTTCTTGAAATCAAATACATTGGAGATTAACAGGTAAAAATCGGATAAACATAAGTGGTGAGCTTCTATTACTTATGTCCAACTTTAGTTGTGATAATTGTGTGAAGGAAGATTGCTTATATTGGCTTTATATTTTTCCTATTGAGATTCTCACCACTTTTTACTCTTGTAACTTCCACTGAGTTTTTCTTCATATATACTAGAACTATTCCAAATGGCATTTTATTCACTGAAAAAAGCCTAGACATTACATCTCCCATGCTAAAAATTCGTATGAGAATTAGAGTCACACATTATACTGTTACAAATATATACCTCCTCATTTTCTCTAAAAGTCTTAGGTTACTCAACAACTCCATGCAGTTAACAAGCCACAATTTATATACATGATGATAGCCGAAAGTGATTCTTTGGTGGACTGTTGTCAATTTGTTATCATAATATTTTGAGAGAATATGGAATCTTGTACTGTGATGGTTTTAAGATTTTACTTTTGGTTGCAAATTAATACTACCTCTTATTTATTGCTTTTATAACTTGGCTATAACAAATAAGTAGCATCTTTAGATAATTTACTGTATATATTATGGTTACAGGAGAGTTACATGTCAAACCTCCCAATGATGATTTTCTTTTTTCGTCTAGCCTTGTGCACCGGCCTGCCCTTTTAGAAGTGTTAAGTTCTAGAACTTCAAAGAAGGATAATGCTTTCAAGTAAATGGTCCAAAAGGTTTGCACACTAATTACTAATTTTCAAGTTGTCTTCAAGGAAAAATTAAATTTGCATTTAACATATGAGTCCTTTCTGGTACATATTGCTTTCGTTGTCATTGAGCTGAAAAACAAACAGTAAAATACCTGTTATATTAAAAGAAGAAAAATAATTAATTTTGGCATAAAAATAGGTTGATTATGGCTGTGAAGTGGGCATGTAATTCTTCTAAATTAGGTCCATACTTTTAGTTTTTATATGACACTTTTTGCTCTTTCTTTTAAGCATTTGGTTTACTATCTAATTCTATGTGCAGTTTGTTTAATTGGCTGATCGAACTGGCCGGCGAACAATTTACTGTTTCTGAAAATTTGGCCATCAAAGAATACAAAGTGATATCAAAATCAACCACCTCCAAAAGTTAATGGATGGCTCTGTAGAGCTTAGCTTTTGACAAGTAAGTTCTTATTAAAGTTATGTAGATTCTCTATTAGTCTTGTGATATTTAAGGAGTCCAATAAAGGCAACTTTGATGCTTTATGATGTGATTATGAGCCAACTTGAGAGTAGATCATTTACTGGTAAGCTTTGGAAAAAATTACAGCGGTTGTTGAAGCATTTTTACTTGGGGGTATGCAGTTTTTTATTTGAAAATTTGATGTTTTGACAAGATAGACATCAAACAATGAGAATTGGGTTTTCTATTTCTTCATATTAGGAGTTCAAAATGTTAAAAGGAAAAAGGCATCCAAACTTTCATTGAGCTTTGAACGCGTGTGAGGAAGTTTTATGTATTGTCTAGAAACCTTTTAGTTGCAGCTAAAGTCGAATGTTGATGGAGAAAGAGGATATTTGACAGAGAACACATGGATTAGCGTCAATTTTAAGCAGATTATTTTGCATGATGAACGATTCATAGGAAGTAGGCTTACCTATGCCATGCATGTTCACGCAGGTGCATGAAGCGCCTCAGTAGTCTATGACATAAATGTGAAACTTAAACGGGTATATGCTAAAAATGGTAAATAAAAAAGAGGTTGTAATTGTGCTCCTCTTTACTTACTCAACAAAACTCTAAAATTTTATACTTGATCAATTTTCACTTATTTTTCCTTAAACGAGAAAAGTAATTTAGATAAAATATTGTAGAACATGAATGAAATAAAATAAATAGAGTTGGGTGTACCTCTCAGATGGAGGAATTGAGTAGAGGTGAGAACTTCAATCTTTATGTGTTCTATTGGCATAGCCCTCTCTGTTGCAAAGGAAAGCATCAGGGGGGTTAAACGTTGTTATAGATGTGTCATGCTTGATTTCTTTGTTTAGCTCACCAGGTTCAAGATATGGCTTTTATGGATTATAATAAAGTACACAGGGTAATTATAGGTGAATTATTTTACATAGTAGTGATCTATGTTCTTTGGCAGATAAGATAGCAAAATAGTACTGCTTTGGTGGACGTTAATTAAGATATTTTATGTTTGTTCAAGTTGGATAGGATTTTACTCTACAATTAAGTATTGCATGTTCAATCTCTAGGTATTTCATAGTCATCCCTCTCTTTACTTTGACTCGATGTGATCTACTTATTTTGCCGCTTCATATTTTATACCAGGTTGGGAGGGTTGAGTTTGAAACTTTTGAGAAGGTGACCATGGAATTGGGATAACTTGAAGTTTCTTTTGCCAAACAAGTAAGCACTGTATAACAACCATCGATGTACATTCTTTTGCATACTGCATACAATACATGTTTTTGGTGATATTTAGAATTTAACTGGAATATCTCATAGTTATTTTGAAAAAAATACTCTCACATGAATGAGTGCACTATCTAGGAAGCCAATGTGGCAAAACAAAAGAAGTAGCTTTAGCAAACATAAGAGAGCACAGTTTAATTATGGCGACTCCCTTAATGGTACTAGCATCCTGTTGAATGTTCCTTGTGGTCAAGAAGAGCAACAATTTATGGTGGAATGTAATACCCTATACAAGAAAGTGAAAAACTATGTCAATCTAGGGGAATATTATCAGTAGATGAAAAAGGAAAAGGAGAAAAAACATATCTGAGTTGCTTCAGAGTTTTCTTCACTAGATCGTAGCTTCTTCCGAAGATGGTATCTATTTATCCTGCAATCACAGACTTAGGAATGGGTCCCCTTTGCTGTACAAATTCAAGCCTCAATGGCTTTCTGTACAAGCCATAAACTGGAGAGACCATTTGAAAGAAGGACATGCTAAAAGAAAGTAATAAGAGTCAATATGTCACTTATTTCATAACGTCTCTCTACATAAGCTGCTAACATTTATTAAAACCAATACTCACTGTTCTCTTCAAGCATCTAACAGAAAAATTCACAATTAAACAATGGTTGAAGAGATTACTAGCTTTCAGAAAGTCAAGATTCATTAAGTAGAAAAGCCTCAGGTTGTAAATTACATGTTGAAGGTACCATTGCTAAGCTACACTATATCGTGATATTAATCCAGTATTATAGTTTTACCGTTGACCCCACTATTGGGATTATACTGGGTTTGTTGTTGTTGTTGTTGTATAGTTTTTACCGTGGACTGCTTTTTATTGGAAGTTCAGCCACTATCCTCAACACAAGTTCATTTGACGGCCACTGTTATTGGTAAAGTTCCTTTTCCGTTTTTCTGGTAGGTTCAAATGCCATTGAATATTTGATTATGGTATAACGTTGAATCGTATAGGTGAAAAGGGCTAATAGCATGTTCTAAGATGGTGCACTTCATGCGGGCGATGAGTGATATTGGATAATGGGAGGAAGAAGTATTAGCATGTTTCTTTCTTAAAAAAGAAAAAGAAATTATAGCATATTACATGATGAAGTTCATGCTGATTATTGCCACTAGCTCTGTCTGGAATGATTTTTTCCTACTATATTATTGCTTAGGTAACTTGCATATGGTCCATGTACCATATAAATATAATTTTTCCTACTATGTTATTTCTCAACTAACACTTAACTTTGCTGGGGCGGAGAAGGAAAAAGCACAACGATTTTTTTTTTTGGCTGAAAAGCGCAACGAAAATTTCCAGCTCTCATCTTGTGGCTTTGACAACACAACTACCAATTAAGGTTGATGATGTTTGTGGGAGTACAAGTAGATATCATTCAAGATTAAATTTTTGCAGTGAATTGCCAATGCTATTCTTGCTGCCACTATTCTTGCTGCACTTAGTAAATAGTTTCTAACTTTTAGGGGTGAGATGAGCAACAACATTCTGTTATATTTCAGCTCTTTACATGTCCTGTATAAAATTTTCACGGCATTTGGCTTTTTTCTTGCTTGAATGTAGCAATATTGTAGCAATATGGGTGTTTCAACTAGGTTAACTATTGAAAATTTTCCATCGTTGATAATCTAAGATTTAGCTAGACTTGGTACGATATGTTTTGATTCTAATGCTTGATTTTCTTTTCATTCAGTGGATACCAAGATGAAAGCATGTGCTGTCAACTGCAGTTGTTAAAATTTATTTTTTTTTTCTTTTAATTGTAGCATCAATATTTGTATTAGTTGAACCACCACAAACATGAATAATCTAACTGTTTTTGTATCAATATTTAGTCAGCTTGATGGTATTGATTCCTTTTTTTTTTGGATAATCCTACTATACTATTAGAATAAGTATGACTTTGTCAGTGTCGGGCCACTTTCGTACACTGATGTAACGCATAGCCCGTGCACAGCACGGGCACGGGCTATCTAGTATTTCTTATAAATTAAATGTTTGAGTAGTCTTTCTTATCTTACTCGTTAATGACATTATAGTATAATCGTGTTTACCATTAAGTGAAGATAATGTAAAATAATGCACTTTTCAGCAACAATTATTGCACCCAAACCATTAGCTAGTTAGAGTTGGATGTACAAATCTTTAATATGCATTTCGTTTTATTTTAAGTCATTTCACTCGAGAATAAAGTTTACCTTAAAACGGATAACAATTGAATTTATACTGTGGTTTTAAATACATAAGATTTTACTTGGCACAAATTGAGAGAAAACGTAAATAGATATTGAAATTCAATAAAAATAAAGCAAACCAAATGAGATGTCTAGCTTTGATCCTCGAGCTGGGTCACCCTCGAATCAAACAAGTATTTTACTGAAATATATGAACAGAATAGCAAAGTATTTAGAGCTTAAGAAGATGGTGTATTGCTTTTTGTAACATGAATATGATGTCTTTACAAATGATCAGACCCCCTTTATATAGTGGGGGACTCCTACTTTTGGTACAATTCTAAATACAGTAAGAAATCCCATGATTAGCTAATTAACCGGCCTCTTCTTGATACGTGCTGAGATTTTCGCCGTGATCCTCGCCCAATTGCAAATATTTTGGCTTTCCGTTATTTGGCTCGGTAAGCCTTCCTCGATCTCGCTCGAACTTTATCTTGCTCGATCTCGGCCTTGGCTGATCTCGATTTCGATCGGTCCTTAAGTCACGAGCTTGTCAATCTAACTCCATGCCACAGTCCGGTACGACATGGGGTCGAACCTCGGCCTATCACACGCTGGTCTCGATTAATCATAAAAAAGGGCAAGCCTGATTTTGACCGTATACAGATAGTCCCCTCCTTTTTTGGATAGTAATGACAAGAAATGATTTGAGCCCTTGATCTTCACCTCGATATATCATGACGTAAGCATCATGACGTATGCAGCAAGTCGATACTCAAACGTCCCGTCGGTTATGATACCGAGGAATTAAATGTCTTTCAGTTGTTGTTGATCACTACCGGTTCTAAACCGTCGTCGTCTTCCTATATGAACCTTAGCCCTTCCCCATTCAAACTCTTACACTAGAAGTCTTTATTACTTTTGCTTTCCTTCAACAAATCCATCTACTTCTCAATCTCTGCATCCACGTTCCTTAAACTCTAAGCGAATCACGTATCATCTTCCGTTCTTTCTTCCCTTGTTCATCAATGGCTAAAACTTCCAAAACTGTTCCGAGGAAATTGCTTCTTCGTCCCGGCCGGCCTGCGATGGAGCCGTGGCAGAACCTCCCATAGAGGACTTCGTTCTGGCAAAGTGCCCCACTGCTGCTGATTTTAAGGTAGAGAATACACCTTCGGTACCAGGTTGATACGAACCGATGTCGAGGTACATATGCACAAATACCGATGATCTTCTCGACCAAGTTAAAGAAGACTCCAACTGGGTTGACAAGCAAGTGGTGGTGCCCTCACCTGAGGAATCAATCACTACCCATGTGGAAGGGTTTCTAAGTGTTCACAATTATCCTTTCATATTGGGTTCTTTAGATCCTATCATCGTCACCTTTTGCAAGAGGTACGATGTGACCCTTGGCAAGATCCATCCATCATTCTGGAGGATCGTGATCCTCCTCCGATTTTTTGTAAGCAAGATTGATGGGTATCCTTTCACCCTCGATCACCTTATACATCTCTATAGTCCCGGGCTTTATCGAGGATGACTGATCAAACTTTACCGCCGAGCTACCTAACCCCTGTTCTCATGCATAGACAAGACCCGAGACTGAGGTTGGATGGGTCAATTTGTCCGAATAAGAACTTCAGACCTAATCCCTACTGAAGATATGCCGTTTCCTGAAAAATGGAACATGAATCATAAGTATTGCTTTGCCTTGAATATTTAACTTTGCCGTTTTACTCCTCATCTTCTTTCCTCATCTATGTTTTTTTTGGGTTGCAGCTGTGGCCCATATGCCAAAAGTAATCCCCTATCTCAGGCAATGGGTCGAGGGCTCGGTGTCGTAGAAGTTAAACTCTGAGCGTGCTTGGACGGAGTTATCAAATGGTCAATGGGAGGCCCGTAATCTTGGTAATTTTCTTTCTTAGAATGGTTACCATTCGAGCCTTGTATCGAGCTTACTCATCTTTTTTCACTTGTAGGCCACGAGAAAGACGTAGCAATGAGGCCCCCATCAGTTGAGGAAGAGGCACTTCCCTCTCTATCTGCCCCGAAGCAGTCCAAGGAGAAGAAAAGAAAATGGGCTCCGAGCCCTCCAGCCCCGGAAAAGAAAAGACTAGCGAGGAAGTCCTATAAGCCTAAGGGGAACATCATCCCTCTAACTTTGGAGTCAGTTCTTCGGCTTAGGGATGAGCTTAAAGGAGAAGAGGAAGAAAAAGACTCCAGGCTGGTGGCCCGTGTGCGAACTGGCGTTGATACTCAAAAAATCTCCGAGCTGGTGGGAGCTAATGCTGATCTGCCTCGACCTGATGAGCCCGAGGGGGAAGCCTCAACCGAAGTCCCCGAGCCAGAAAGAGCTGAAGTCGCTTCCCCTCGAGGTGAGAAGGCTATCGAAGAGGCGGGATGCTAATGTATCAACCATATCCGAGGCTCTCCGAGATGAAGGCGATGCCCCAAAATATTTACCTAAGGCGATAGGGATCGGAGACTCCCCTTCATTGCCTTCTTTCTCTGATTCGATGATCCAGGATGCCCAGGCGATGGAGACTTGCCACGGTGAAGGGGTCCCTGGGGCAGAAGACCCTTTCCGTGGTTGCTTTGTTGGAGTGGAAGATGTCACCGGCATGGGTGACTTGGAAGTACCGAGGAAGAGCTCGAATGAAGCCCCCTCAAGCTTTAAACTGAATGATCAGTTCCCGACCCCCAGCGTCGATCCCAGGCATAAACGATCAATTGTCATCTCGGTCCCAGAGGATGCTCAGGTTCTCTCTGCCCCCATAGGGGTGGCAAGCCACTTCCGATGTTTGGTCAGCGAAGAAGACCAAGCCAAGATGGATGAGGTGGAAACACCTTGTCTTTTCAATGAAACCCAACAAACTCTAAACCGGGTAATCCCAGATTTCCCTGTCAATTTTCATACTTAGACTTTTCTCCCTTTATATAACTTTTTTTCTATGTTTGTAGGCTTCGGTGCTTCATCACGAGGCTTTCCTCCAATTCAAAGGGGAACGGAGCTGGTATGAGGCCGAGATCCGAGGGCTTACTAAGGAAAAAATGCCGTCAAGCTTCTTAGTGAGCAAAGAGAAGGGGAAGCTAAAGGGCTCTGTGCTGAGCTAGAAATGTCTCATAAAGAACACGCCGAACTGATTGAGCAGGTAAGAAGAATATTTGAAGTTAGTGACGGCGATTCAGGCGTGGTAGATAATGGTTCGAACCCCCAGGTCCAACAGAAGATTGATGTGATCAGGCAACTCCGTGAAGAACCAAATGCACTAAAAACTGAGGCCGAAGGATGGAAAGAGAAAATGGACCACCTGGCCACAGAAAAGGAGACTGCTCGGGCCCAACTGGCCTCGGTTGAGAACCAGCTCCGAGGTATGAAAGAGGAAATCTTGATGCAGGCCAAGAAAGCCGAGGATCTCCAGTCCAGTTGGGTTCAACAGTTTCTGCTCGGGAGAACCTAGTCTAGGGGCATGGAGGACCACGCGAAGTGGCAAGATCGAAGGGAAGCCTTTGAGGGAACCCGTGCTCAGGGTTTCAATATATCCGCTGAAATCGAGATTGCCAAAGCAGAAGAAACAAAGGCTAGAAAACCGGCTTTTCCTGAGGAAGACTTTGAAAAATTGAGAGAATCCAGTGGGGAGGACTCCGAGGGTGAAGATGCTTCCTTCGGTAAGGATCATGTTGCTTAGGCTTTGTAATTTTTGCTTTTATGTTGAGGCCGATCAGCCTTTGTAAAGAATTCTTGATCAGGTCCCATGGCCCTTGTAAAAAGTTTTTGATGAATATATAAAACTTTTCCCTTTAATGTCTTTTGAGTCTGTTGTCTTTTTAATTTATACAAAGGTCAGGACGCCTTAGTATAAAATTATGATGTTGTCACAAAATTACGATGTTGTATTTGAAAGTCCGAGATTTAGAGTAATAATTTGGTCTTGAATCGAGGCGGATTTGCTTGAACTCGATTTAAGGTAGCCTTTAAGCTTTATGGTCGAGTGAGGACTTGCTCGAACTCGAAAATAGGGTAGCCCTTAGTCTTTCTAGTCGAGTGAGAATGATCTCTTGAACTCGAAGTAAAAGTATCCCTTAGGCCTTTGTATTTTGTATTCGGCCGATCTGGCTTTTGTAAAAAGATCGTTTATGTACATATTGTCACACCTCTTTTTTCCGCCCCCGCGAGGGGACAAGAGAGTTTTTTCCAATTAAAGGACAATCGAAACGGGATTTGTTTATTT